TATATATACACAACAAAATACGTTGAGTAATACTGAGTTGTGTAAAGTGTACATTTTATTTCTGAAAGTGTAGGCATGGCAGTTATTAGAATCATTTTAAACAAGCATTTAAACAAAAAAAAAATTCTTCAAATTACAAATGAATGAGAAATTACAACATTTTAAGTCTGAAGCATCGAAAAAAGCCCAAATTGCAGTTATTTAAGTCAAAGAAATAAGCAAATAGGGGATATCTTACTTAACAATTTTTAAATTTATTTTGTCAAGTCTTTAAATTTAGCAAAATTTAGGGGATGAAGATTTTAATCGAAAATCTTCGAGTGTTGTCGGAGTCGAAGATGGTTCCAAACCCATTTGCAAACAAACAGCAAGTAATCTTAGAAAAAGGTACTTTTTTGCAGAAAGCTAGAATACCAAGTGTGCGAACGCTAAAATGCAAACACTTTAATGAGTGCTGAGTGTTGATAGTTTTCGCCAGTTGTAAGAATCTGAATTTTCTATTGCCATCATGCAAACTTTAAAGTTAATTTACATAAATTTACTAAAACTTTACGCAGGACAGACGTACATGCAGCTCTTCTATTATCAATCACTATCCGACAAAACAATGAATCGGTTATTATAGGTAATGCTATTTCTTTGTAAAGTCAAATAGTATATATAATATGCTGGCAGAAAAAAGGATTTTTGCCACATAAAACCACAACTTTAAAAAAAAAAGAAAAAAGAAGGGAATTTTATTTTTTTACGCGTGACAGGATACACATAAATGTCTTTAAGAAATGTGAGAACTTCATCGTCGCTTCAACATCTGTTTTTCGAATCGATGGATTTTAACACATTTGAAAAAGTCGGGTACTACATGCTTGTAATGCTGGTGGGGATTTGGCAGGGCTGGGTGTTTATCGTCCCTCAGAGACATTTACGGCTGATCGTAAAAACGTCTTTCAGGGTTTTGCTAGATTTGATTTAATTGTGGGGTGATAAAATCGACACTAATGGTCACCATATTTCATAAAATATCCATTAAAGCATCAACAATAAAAGGTGATGCGAGGGGGTTCCAAAGATCATTTGATCTTTCAAATCAGTTGATCTGAGGCCGTATATTTTTGATGCTTATTATACGATCAACCGGTGAGAAGTAAAAATTTTCACACAACTTTGTTTAATAAAGGATTACGATATTAAGCTCTAAAAATGCATTTATTTCAATAAATATATGTGTGCAAACATTGTCATTCATAGTGCACTGAACGAATAATTCGTTCGTTATAAAATTACAAAATGTTTGTTTCCTGTACTAAAATCAAATGCATAGCAACGGCCCAGATGTTAAACTTGCATCTTCTTAATGGATATATATTCCCAGGACAAAAAGAAGTATATCATATATATCCCAGGACAAAAGACAGTATCAAATACCTGAGGACTATTTTGTATTGTTAAATTTAAATTAAAAGATGGAGATGACCAAGCCAGAGGCCGAACTACGTCATTTAAGTGGAATAAATCAATCAATTGTTGTTTTCATCATTCCTACTGTATGATTCACATTGATTCATTGATTAATATCAAACGATTAATATTATCGCATGGTTTATTAATATTAAGTTAATTTTATTATACACTCTATAACAAAAAAATCGACCCACCAAGAAGCAATCATCCGATTGCTTTGAAATTTCGTATGCATGAATGTTTTGAACAGATATGCAAATGATTAAAATTTGGTGTCCAATGAACGAATAGTTTGATCTCTGGCGCATCGGAACTGAGCATCCAGGAGAAGTTCTTCAACGGTTGTTAAAACTTTCGGTTTGATTGCGATTCAGATTACCTTTCAACAACTTAAAAAATGCCTCGCTGCAGGATTCTCGCTCATTACGAGAAACTTTCAGAGTTTGACAGAAGTCGTATCATTGGATTGAAGGAGGACGGTTGGACAAATCGGAGTATCGCTCGTCATTTGAGTCGAAGCGATGCTGCGATTCGAAGATGCTGGCAAGGATGGTTGGAAAATGGCAGAGTTCAGTGTCAGGATGGTAGCGGTCGACCTAGGGCTACAACAGAGAGTGAGGACAGAGTGATTGTCCGAGCAGCTGTCACAGCGCCTTATTCATCTCTATCAACCATCAGACGTTCAACCCAAACACCAGTGTCAACCATGACCATTCACAGACGGTTGAGAGAGCGAAATCTACGCTCGCGGCGACCGTTACACCACCTGCCACTCACGCCTGCACACTGCCTAGCCAGATTAAAGTGGTGCATGGCTCGATAAGGCTGGAATGATGCCGACTGGGAAAGTATAGTCTTTAGCGACAAATCCGGCTCCCAACTGTGTCCTGACGATCATCGA